GTTTCCACCTTGGGGAGGGCAGGTATAAACTTGTAGATATTAGCATGTAAAAGAAAAGGACAGAAATGTGCTCACCTGTATAATGGAGAAGAACATTCCTACCAGCTGGACCTGCAGCCTTGAGGAGTCTCCTGAGCGTACCCCCCGCCCACACCCCAGCCCCCCAGTGATGAGGGCTGCATCCCTCAGGCCCACAGCACTGACCCCTTCTTCCTCTCCGACCCCATGCAAACTCAGTGCCTCAGTCCTGCTGCTGAGATTCCAAGCTGAGGGGTGCTCACTTAAGGACAGAGAATCTTTATGTCACTGTGTCCTTTCAAATCTTAACCTCCCCTTCTCCCATGGTGTCCGTGAGACCCAGTTTGTGGGCAAGTGTCTGACAGAGCACACAGCACGTCAGAGGCGCACAGTCCACAGCAGTTTCCTTGCTGCCAGTGGGAAAATCTTTGATCTTGGACCCAGAAGAATTCAGCTGGAGACAATGTCTCTTATCAAGTTACCGGATCTCTCTAAATCTCGGCCTCTTCATCTATTAAGTGGGGATACTAGTTCCTATCCCTCGGGGTTGTTATGAGAAGCAAATGAGATAGCACACACACAGGGGAGAAAGTGGATTCTGACCCTCAAGCGATGGAAGGGTGGTGTTCCTTCTGGGATCAGCTGAAATCCTGTCTCCCTGGGTAGCTTCCCGTGACCTTGCTCCTACTGACTCATTTCTTATCTTAACCATGTGTGCTGTTTATTGTCCATGCGTAATTCCGTGGTTAATGGAGGTGTTTCAGGTTGTTGGCTCCCCAACCAGACTGTCTACTCCTCATAAGCCGGGGGCAGCATATCCGCCGTGCAGTTGCACAGGGCCCAACACGGAGTTCGATAAATTCTTCTGGGTCTGCAAGGAGGATACCGTTAGACAGGGCCCCATTTATGCCGTGTGTCCCGTACAGCAAATACTGTGCACCCGGGACCGCCCTGTGGTTTCAGGAGAGCCACCTAGAAAGACAGGAGTAGCCACTTTATAGAATGAGCAATTTAGAGTCAGATAAATCTGAGTCTTTTCTGATGATTTCGAAAACTTAAGATAAACCACGCTTTTATGAGAAACCAGAGAATTCTAAAGTGCCATGTCTAGAATTGCCCACCTCCACCGCCCCCACCCCCCGGCCAAATGCTGGTCTATTGCAGGCAGTTCTAGGACCTATCTAGGGAGAGAAAATAAACTGCAACTATTTTTGGAAATGAAGCCTCATTGACCTGAGAAGCTTCAGCAATCTAACACAAACTCATCACGATCAGCCCGACCCCCAGTGACGCCTCTAGCCCTGGGACAACATTGATTTGGCGACGAAGAGCGGCTGTTAGGGCAAAACTCTGAATGCGACTGACACTCAGATTTGCCAGATATCACGACAATTTTCCTCAGTGGAGAGCTTCTGAGTCCTTTTAGTCCTCGTACACTCGTCTCCTTTGATCCTGACCAGTAAGACGTGAGTCTCTCCCATTTTACACACAAGGATGTCGGGGCACGGAGAATGTATTCTCTTGCCCACATCGGACGGTTAGCTCGTCCTGTGGCCAGCAGATCAAAAACACCAGTCCTCCTGACTTCCAGCCTCCTTTTCTACTTGCGCAGAGGCCCGAGCTGTGGTAAACTGCTGGAGGAAGCAGGCTGTGTGTGCATCCGTTGGGAAGGTCTTACCGTCAGGCTTGGCGTTAACCATGCTTATTCTTCAGTGTTGCTAAATAAATGAGAGCAGTGTTACACGTTTTTGTTCTTCCAGGAGTCCGCGTTAGATATCTCCGGGCTGTGTCAAGGTTAACTAGATAATCCAGTTAAAGTCCTGTTAGCCCCCTGAGTGCGGCTATAAAAACAAGGTAGCTAAAACAGAGCTCACGGCTTTTGAAGTAAGAGGCTGTGTGAGATTCTCCGTCTTTCTTTTTCTAAGTGATGAGATGTTTTGGTTTCTTTATTTCTTGCTAACACCTCTGTCTCCTGAGGTTAAGCAGTGGAAAGAATATTATTGGCCTAGGAAGAGATGCGTTCTAGCCCTCACTTAGTCACTGATTAGCTGGGTTGTCCTGGGTGAGTAACTTAGCCTGGTCTGGCCTCAGTTTGCAGATCTGTGAAATGGGGGCAAGAGCAATGCCAGTCTTGCCCATCTTACACGCAGGCTGTGAAGGTGGAATTAGACACGGAGCACCCATGTGTCTCAGAACCTCTTGGTGTCTGCCCACTGACTGCATGCTCTCCAAGGCAAGCAGGCATTGACTAGGCATTGACTTTGTGACCTTGGGCAAGTTAGACATCACGTCTGAGCCTCTGTTTCCACATGTGCGAACTGTGTCCTCCGCACCTACCATATTGTCATTAGGATCATAATGTCATATATGTAAGGTCCTTGGTGCAGTGTTGAGGCACAAAAGTAGGTGGGAATAAACTTCTGCATGGTCGAGGAAACGTGGTAGGTGCCAAGTCTCGAATGCCATTGCCAGACAGAGCATTGACTGCAGCCTGCCTTTCCCCCGACCTGGCTCTTCCTCTCTGCCTGTCTGTCCTTGCACTCCAAGCGACGGGCAACAGCAAACGGGAACTGTGCCTGCAGACATTGGCATTCGTGTCGCAGCCTCTGCTGGTGATCCTTTCTGCCCAGGATGGCTTCACCTAGGTGCCCTAATGACTGGTCATGTGCTGATGATGCTTTTGTTGGGGAGCACAGGTTGGTGCTAGTGAAGGGAATCCAGCATCTGGAAGACACTGGCTCTCCCTTACCTGTTCTCATGACAGACAGGAATGAAGTGTACAGTTTTGGTGTCCTGTCCCCTCCCAGCCTCCTTCCCTGTGCCCTGACATCTGCAAGCTCGAACAGCTGCTTTTGCTCCAAGGTCAGAGGTCAGGATTCCAATACAAATGGGAGGGACTCCGGTACAAACTACTGTTACAACTAGGGTGTGGGAGGCTCCGAGAGAGTGCAAATGGTGGGGTACTAGCCGGTACAGGGCAAGGGTTCTGAGAATGGATGTGGGGAGAGCAGAGGAGATAGAAGTTTGGGAAAGGAAACAGCAAGGCGAGAGGGGACAGGAAAAAAACGATTTCACCCATTTCACAATTTTTCTGAAGGGTCTCCCTGCCCATCAACAGTCTTCCCACAATCTGAGTGTATGGTGTGTAATACATCCAGGGAGCTGGAGGGCCCATTTTTTTTTTTTTAAATGAAGCATGTTGTAAAGTGAAACAGTCCTTCTGCCCCAAATCTTGAGGGTTTTGAGAAGTATGTCAACATTCCGTGAATCCCCAAGTACTGATCTTCCGGCCAAATATTAGGCTGCAAAACCAAACAGAAGGAGAAGCCACGACTAACTTTGGAAATCTCAGAAGGGCGGACTGAGGCAGCGACCTGGAGCTGGTCAGAGGCGGCCTTGAGAACTGCATTGGACAGTTTATTGAAAAATAAATTTTAAAAAATGTTTATTAAACAAGAAATACAGGTTATTTATAGAAACATAAGAAAATACAGACAAGTACTAGAAAAAAATAATAATAACCCTCCCTCACATTACTGATGGATAAAAAGCCTCATTCTGGGACCCACCGGCCTGGCGCAAAGCCGCTTCCCCACTTACATGCCTAAGGGCTGCAGGTGAATCACCTCTCCTCTGTGTCTCTGTTTGCTCATCTCTGAATCAGAGATAACCATCATACTGCTTCTAAGGACAGGTGTGAGAATATAGGAAGCTAATGCTGTGGTGCTTAAAACAGCTCCTGAAATACAGTAAACACTATATATGAATGGCTGTAAGAATAATGGTTATTTTCATTTTACTCTATCTCTAGACCTTTTCTTATATAATCTATAAGATATATTATGTAGAATACTTAACGTTTCTATGAAAATAGGTTATACCATATTCTTTAGTAAAATCATTTTTACTCTTGATCATTTTTTTCATGGACAGATTTGTTATTATTAGCTAACCTTCCTAGCTTACAGTTGGGATATATCTATGGTAAAGATTTTAAATAAATTATATCCAATCCTCACAATAATTCTGTTATTATATATATTATAAGTACTATTATGACCATTACATAGATGAGAAAAAACAGAGTCTGAGCAGTTCACGTAGCCGACGTGTACAGAGCCAACGAGTGGAGAAATTACAATTTCAATCCAGGCAGGCTGGCTTTTGAACCTGCTTGTGTTAGGACAACATAGGCTTTATGAGAAGATTTAGAATTTCTTTAGAGTTTCCTGCAAGAGGCAGGTTTGGGTGTGTGTCATCTTTCCTTCTGTACTGCAAAGAGGAGGAAAGCAACCGTGAGACAGGCTGCTGACCTATGCTGGCAGGATGAAAGAGAAAACATGTTTGCGCTCACTCCTTTTTAACCCTTGCCAGCCATGCTATGTGGGACAACAGACTGACAGATGTCTGGCTCACTGTTTCTTCTTGGGCTTGGGCTCTAATGGCCTTTCCAGTTTTCACTGTGGCGATCACTCTCTGATACCAAATGGGATCTAAGGTCCAGTCCTGGGCTTCCCGTTTCCTAAGTATGTTTTATCCAGAAAAGAGGGCCTGGAAGCAGTTTTTCAGCTCGTTCTCCAGGGCCTCTGATACAGCGTCCTGGGCCAGTGGCCACAACCTCCTCACACTTCCCTCGCCATCCCGGGGTCCTCGCCCCAGTCCTCCGGTAACCCAGGACCAAGTCGCAGGCATTGCCAGCTGATGAGTCAGCAAGTCCATGTTCCAAGCCCCCGCACACGAAGCCCGGGTCTGGGCAACACAGGTGCAAGAGGAGGGAGGCAGTTCAGAGCACAAACACAAGCGAAGGCAGGGCTGCCGACCGAGAGCAGAGGCTGCATGTGCTGGACGACAGGTGGGGGCCGCGTCAGCTCTGCGGAAGGGTCTGGCTGCACCACCGTCTGGGGTCCCGGGGATGTCTTGACCTGGCGTGTGAGAGGATGACAGTGACATTTCAGGAACTGACCCCTCCCCTCTGCATTCAGGAGTAGCTCGGAGAGGAGGAAGGAGAAGTCCCGGGATGCCGCCAGGTGCCGGCGGAGCAAAGAGACCGAAGTCTTCTATGAGCTGGCCCACGAGCTGCCCCTGCCGCACAGTGTGAGCTCCCACCTGGACAAGGCCTCCATCATGCGGCTGGCCATCAGTTTCCTACGCACCCATAAGCTCCTGTCCTCAGGTGAGCCCGGCAGTCACCCCCCACTGGTGCCGGTGACAGTGACTGCCTGACCAGCGCGTGCTTGCCTGCGGGAGGCTCCCTCATGCTGCGGGCGTGGGGAGGGCTCTGGGAAGGGCTCTGCGGAACCTCCGTCCACGTGGAGGCCACCACTGGGGCTTCATTCCCTCGTTCTGAACCCCTCCTTGCTGGCGGTGACCTGTACAATAAATATGGCCACGGGGTGCAGAGCAGGGATGGGACCAAGGGAGTGGATGGGCACCCAGAAGCTGAGGAGGGCGACCGGGGATGGACAGGAGGCCCTTCCACCAGTTTCCACCTTGACCGGCCGCCTCCAGGCCCACACTCCACTGCGGAGCGTGCCTTTAGGAAGCACTTGTCATCCTCCAGCTACCTTCTCCAGAAGGGCAGCAGTGTACCCGTGTGCCCTTTCCCCTCTTGCTAGCCAGTGTGCTTGACAAAGTACATGGCATCTCTGCTCTTGGTTTCCTTGCCTGCAAAAGGGCTTAAAAGCACTTTTACCACACGGGGCATCTGTGAGAAGGAGAGGAGGCCAGGTCTGCGCCGCCCCTGACCTGGCCACATTCCCTCACACTGCGGAGTCTCACTGCGCCACTCCTCACACTGGTGGGGAACAGCCTCCCCACGGAACCTGCTAAAAATTCCGACCCTCCCTGGCATCACAGTGACTCTCAAGTTCACAAAACTTTTCTTTTTCTTTTTTTTTTTTTTTTTTTTTCAGGTTTTTTTTTCCCTCAGAGTTCACAATCTTCAAAAAACCATTTCCTGTTAGTCCTGACCAGAAAGAAGCAGCCTGGGGAGTTTTCCAGTTTCAGATTGTATGTGACAGTCCCATCTGGTCTGTCAGTTTCATAAGGAAACTGGGCGGCAGGGAGAGCCTCTCCCACGTGGCAGGTGGCCATGTCCCAGCTGGGGAGCCCGAGGGAGGCAGGCAGGCAGGCAAGGGAAGATTCTTTTGTGGTTGGTTTTGCTTTTCCTGAGTGAGCCTGGTGCCTTGGAGCTGGTCGGCTCTGCCATCCTGTTATGAAGTGGCTATTCTGGGAAAGAAACCCAGAGCAGAGGGAATCCAGCGTGAGGTGGGGAGGCCGGACCAGCATGTGCTATTCTGGGCCCTGGAGCACAGGAAGGATATGGGGAAAGAAAGACCCACTGAGCTCCAAGGGTCGGAGGGCTATGGTCTGTACTGCCCATGTAAAGAGTCTCAGAACAGAGCAGAGGAGAGGGGGAGAACCAAGGGCAAAGACACGCTCTATAAATACCTTCAGAGAAACAATGCCAGAGAATGGCGGGTTTGTCACAGATGCGGCTGAAGGAGGGAACAGTGGCCTGGAGGCACCATCAGAGGGCACATGTGTACCTCTCTCTTTAAAGAGCCTTCTCTTTCTGGACAGGTGAGGGCAGTGTCTGGTAGTGTGAGAATCATCTTTGTATAAACAAAGAGCCTGCAGGAATTAAGGACTAGACAGAGACCCTTTCCCCACACTCAGAAACATCTCTTCAACTTCCCTGTTACGATACTTGCAATTCTCTTAGACAGGAGTGCCTTTGGGTAAATCATTGCCTCCTTCCAGCCCAAGCCCCATATCCCCACCGACAGAGACCCCAAAAGGAGTGATTTGTGCATCCGGGGGCACCTCTGTGATGGAACTTGGACTTTTAGAACATTGGAGAAAGAGGACAAGTGAGGTACAAGTAGGTGAAGGTTGCTCAAAGTCACACGCTTAGCACGCGGTGAGTCTGCACTTGGAATGCAAGCTCTTTCAAATCTGCATCTGTGGGAAAGATGGTGGTGGGAGGGCGGGAGCATCCCGCAGACCTGGCCAGGCAAAGATGTTGACGAGGGCTCGGTGTGGAGGGCAGAGGAGGGTTCTTCCTTGGCAAGAGGACCAAAGTGGAGCAGAGGCATCTGGGGGCCAGCCCGGATCAGTGGGGTGCAGAGATGGTCCTCACACATAGAGTGAGCTGTCTCCATCCTTTCTCTTGGTGTGCGTCGTTGATTTCCAAGCTCTCCCCCGCATAATCATCCTTCGCAGTGGTTCCAAGGTTGGCTTGGAGATGGCTACAAATCAGAGGCTGGGTCCCCAGAGCATGTCTGCCTGCCTGTGTGCTGGCGTGAGCCCCCCACGTGCCAGCCCCACCCTGAGAGATAGGACCACAGAGAGACAGCACACACCCCTGCTCAGGTGCTATTGTAAGTCACGGGCACCAACTGCCTGCCCTTTGGCCGGGCTTGGCCCCAAACTGACCAGAGCCTCAGCATGTCCGCCCTGGTCCTCTCTGTCCTGAGGAGGGAAATGACGGAAAAGGATAAGAAGGGTCTACAATTGTCCCTCTGGTCCTGGTGTCCTTGAGGGAGCCGCTCTCATAAAACACACATCATCTAGGGCAGGAGGAGGACACGGATGGCTTTTCAACATCCCCTTTCTCTGCCTTCTCTTCTGGTCCTGCTGCACATTCTTTAGACCAAGTGTGGAGATCATTTTCAAGAATTGTATGTGAGCTCGGGTCTTTATTTATTTATTTTTCTTAAATCACATTTTGCTTTTTCAAAATAAGCAATCCAGTGGAAAGGAGTACAGGACTTATGGGCAAATAGACCCACCCTGGGGACTCAGTCGCATGGCCTTCTTTACAAGCTTGCAAGAATCTCTTCACTACCTCCCAGCTTTCCTTTCTCATCTGCACAAGAGTGATTGATACCAGTCCTTCCCCTGGAGTGCTATTTGAGGATGGAGAGAAGTGGCAAGAAAAGCCCTTACCCTCTTGCCTGCCACATCTGAGGCTCTCTGTAAGTGACAGCTTAGAAATAAAGGTTATGATGAATAAGCAGATTGATTTATACTAAGTATAGGCTTCTGGAGAAATGATGTCAGTGGGAACCCAGTGGAAACCCACACTCACACTGTCCTCTTACCCACCGTCAGCCGGGCCTATCGAAATGTGGAGTAGCCAAGTTTTTCCCAAGTCAAAACAAACCACAGATTCCACACGGAAGCATTTCTAACAAAGGTGAGCACCAGGGTTGGCTCACTGTAAAATAGGAAATAGTTGGTTGCATACCTCAGAGTTCAAAAGGCTAAAAAAGACCAGGTTTTGCTTTAGAAAAGTTTCTTCTTTACTTAGTAACACGCTTCCCTTTGATTTTCACAGTAGGCTGTTCTGTGTGGGAATGTGGGAGAGGAAATCTCAGCACTGAGAAATCCAAGCTGGGAGTCGGGGCGGCCGACTGAGATTCGTATCACAGGAAGCAAACTGAAACAATGGCTTTATGATATTAGCTTCCACGCTGGGCCGAGAACAGAACACACTCTGACGGGAACACATCGGTGGAAATACCGCTTGATTGTCTTAAATCCTCTTTCAAGATGAGCGCCACAAGCCATGACCAGATGAGGATCACCTCTGCATTCAGAGGGCCTGAGACAGCAGGAAATACACAAACTGCGTTTTTCACGATAAAATTGATTTTTTGGCTTCTCCACACTCAGATATGGGGAAATCAAATGATTTTACATGATTGCCAGAGGTCCTCGTGTAGCAAGTTTGCGAAAGAAAAATGTCAGCTTTATTATTGATGCATTGGCATGAATGAATCGATCCATTCATGCTTTGCCCCACTCACGGCCTTTTTCGGTGCTGTTTGGAGAGGAGCTGGGAGGCAGAGTCATGCCAGGATGTTAAACGGCTGAAAGCAGCTAATGACAATCTCTTCCAGAGATACTGACCCTGTTCAGATCACTCCCTTAATTTAAACCAAAAACGTCTGGTCAGTCAGCAGGTGTCTGCTGACCCCAGCCCTGTGCTACATCTTATAAAGGAAGGGTACACAGAGAGGTTAAGATAGGATAATAAGTTACATAAAGAACAAAGGAATGAATCTCTAATGGTGGGACTTTCCAGGCCCTTGGGGAGGCCAGCAAGAGCAGGTAGAACACAGTGCCTTCTGCCAAAGATGGGAGGGTCGCCCCAGCCTACTACCGGGTAATGGTAGTGGGGGGTCTGCAGGGAAAGCTGGAGTAAGGAGTCGGTTTCAAAAAGAAAGCCTCTGTGATGATAACTAAGTGGCGACTGAACCAGGAGGATCACATCGACACGGTTTTAAGAATCCTCAGAGAACTTGTTAGGGGGAGACAAAGAGGGAGGAAGGCCGGTCTGCCGGAATAAAGACCGATCCGGACCAGCAGGGCCTTTGCACAGTCTGGTCTCCGAGACCTGGTCTGGAGCGTCTCCCCTGCCGCCCCGCTGCCCTGCCTGCTCACCCCAGACGCCTGGCTCCTGCTGCCCGTGGGGTCCCGCCCCACATGGGTGGTGCCGCCTGAAGGAAATGAGCACTGCTCCGGAAAAAGTGCTCCGAAACCCCAGCCCGCGCATATCCTGGCTGTGGGGAGTCGTCATCAAAGCCTGTTTACTGGGGCTATTGTTAGCATTAAAGAATCTTGTTGTGCTCCCCAGGCCAAGCATGCTTGGTCTTAGCACAGCGCCTCTGATTCCAACGGCCCGCCCCTCTTCTGGGGGTCTGGACCCTGACGGGTCCTGGGAAGCAAGTAACTGAGACCTAGAGCCCATAGCGATTTGGAGACCCCGCTGGAGGCTTCTCAAGCATCTACTGTGGGCTCCTCTTTATTTAGCACCACAGGTTTCTTCTGGATTGTTGTGTAAGCTTATGGTGGTCTAGCCTTGTCTTCAGCACTGATCTGTAGATTCCTTGAGCGAAAAGATGGCTCTTATACCCTTCCGTATCCCTGATTCTCCCTAGGATGGGGCTGAGCACGTAGGGACACTTGTTGACAGATGGCCTGACTGATGTCCTGCTTTGTGCCTGGCGCAGGGCAGACACGTAGTTGGGGTATGGTAACGGCGTAGTGAATAGGTGAGCTTTCTAGGTGCCTGACACTGAGCTGGAGACTAATGATGCCGTAGGGAAGAACTAATGCTCCCCAGAAAGAGCAGGAGAGGAGCAGAGGGGGATAGGCACGCACCCCCAGCCGCTAGGGTGAGGATCTGCCTCTGGCCCTGCCGTTTTCACCCTCAGCTCCAAGCTGACTGTGAGCTGGCCAGGAACTTTCAGTGTCCCCCAGGACAAAAAGCAGGTGCTGCGGGAGTAAATAGTTCCATAGAGGAAAGAGGCCAGGTTGTCCCAGGGGTCCCTCGGGCCCGGCCTGCTGGCTTCCTGGTCCTCTAGCCATTGTGACTTCAGTTCCAAGATGTTCTGTTTCCATTCGTGGTCCCTGAGCACCCCTCTCCCTTCCTCCCAGAGGCCAGCTGGCCAGCTGCTCTTGCCAATTCGCCACCTCCTGGAAGCAAGTGTACTGGGCATGGATGGAAACCAGTTTGGCTGGGTTGGAACAGTTAAAAACAGGAAATTTTAAGCAGAACTATTTTCTCTGGGCCTAGTTAACCCAAATAGGGTTGTCTTGGGATTTTACCCAATTTTGAGGTCAGTGTTGCCACTGACATCAAAGAAGTTGAAGAGAAAAAAAATCTTCTCAATAGGGCAGAACTCATGGGGCTGGCCCTTGCTGTCTAGAGAAGGTGGTCACCTATCTGGTATGATTTGATGGTGCTGAAAACCTCTCCTCACCCATCCCCAAAGTAGGTCACCATCTACCAAAACAGTTGGATTTTCTCAGCATTAAGGGTCACTCGTAGGACCTTGAGTTATGGCAGTGATTCTCAATCTGTGGTCCTAGCAGCATCCTCATCACCTGAGAACTTGTTAGAAAAGCAGATTCTCAGCCCACATCTGAGACATACTGAATCAGGGACTCTGGAGAAGGGCTCCTCTCAAGCCAGCTTCTTGAGTGTGTGACCTGTGCGGTCCCACAGAGCTCCACACTCAGAAGAGCCCTGGACATAGTTAAATTTTTCAACAAGAGGCCCCACATTTCCCCGCTGGGCCCATGAGTTATGCAGTAGCCCCCCCCAGACCCCAAAATCCTTGCTTTAGCGAGCCCTGCAGGGGATGCTGGTACACGCTCAACTGTGAAAGCACTGAGTTACATCACCTACATCCTAAAGCCCCTATTTAAATATGGCCGTTAGCTGAAGCACCAACATTGGCAGCGGCCAAACCGCCACCTAGAACTTGGGCTCGTCATCAGTTCAGCTGACTAGTTAGTTGGCAGAAATCCTGAGCAGGGATCAAGTGTGGGGATGTGTGTGGCATAAGGCCATCCCCAGATGGTCTCCCTTCCCAGAAGCTAGTTAGGGTGTGAAGAGGAAAGAATTTCCCTCCTTTGTTCCACCATTTTAGCAAAATGGAAAGGAAGTCACCAGGATACTACTCTCTGTAGCCCAACTCTTGGCTCTAAAGGCAAGCCCATCCCTGGATGGGCCCGCTCTGTTCCTCTGTGACCCTGGCACATTTCCTGATCCCATGTCCTGAAGGTGGCTGGTCCCCAGTGGTGCCACTGAAGGCCTTTGGTAAAGACCTCTCCTAATTTGGATTTGTTCTTCTTGAGGAATAGCAGCATATAGCCCAGAAGCTTAAATTTAGGGGCTCAAGGGAAAAGAGAACCAAATAAACCCGGTGGCCTCGCAGAGAGACCCTTGGACCTCATTTCACCGTATCCATGCATTTTTTTTTTTTTTCCAAGTGGCCCAGAAATCTAATTGTATTTTACATTCTATAGAACAGTCTCAGGTTAGAAGATGCCTTTTAGTTAAGTAAATATTAACTTTTATAACAGACAAATTACTCTGTTTCCCTTGTTCTATGAGTTAAATGAGGTCTACTTGGCATGATGTTTATACTGGAGGAATGCAAATTTTTTAAGTAAAGGTATGTTTGGAGTTAAATAATATGGTGGTGACAACAGCCAAGGGCCTGGGGCCTGAGCACTTTGGGACAAGAGCTGAGTCTACATTTGATCTGCTCTGGGGCAGCTGGCAGAAGTGTACTTGAGAGACTAGGGCTACTCACAGTGGCCGGTTGGGGGGTGGGTGCTTCCCCAGGTGGCCCTCAGCAAATGCTTCTCTAGCCTGCCATGAGCGTGGTGGCTCCCTCATGTGGTTCTTGCCCCCTCATGTGGTTCTTGCCCCCTCATGTGGTTCTTGCCCGTCTGGTCTTCACTGTCTCTCTGCAAACCATCCGCATGCCTTTGCCAGGTGATTCTCCGGAAAGCAGTGCTCTGAGATGCCGCTGCTCCGGAACGCCATACCTACCTCAGCAGCCTGGCTACCGAGTCTGGGGAATGGAGCTCCCCTTTGGCCAGATGGGGGTCTCCTGAGTCCCCGGGGAGGGAGTTTGCGCCAGGCTCTAGCACCTCCATGTCTGCCTGGTGTCTGCCCAGCCCAGCCTGGCCCAGAAAGTTCTTTGGCTTTGCAGAGTGAGTGCCTGTGATTTATGAGCCTCTTCAAATGCCCTTTCGTGGAACAAGTGTCTCTGGCCACATCAAAGGGACCCCCTCTTCCTCTGAGCCCGTGAGCACTTACTGTCTCTCCTCCTCTTCGGTCACCAGCAGCTCTGCTCCCGACTCTCAAACTTAGATTTGGGGCTGTGTGTGCTGCACATCCCCTGTCTAGGCTCTCAGCACCTTTAGGACAGCAATGGTGTCCTAGAGGGAGCAGAGGGGAAGAAAAACCACCATGACTGGTAGTGTTTGGGGCATTTTAAATACTTATTTAATCCTTATGACTCAAAAAGTTGGAAATTATTATTTCCATTGGGCTGATGAGGAAACTGGTGTTCAAAGAGGTCAATGGCCAAAGGCCTAGCCGATTAAGAGGAATAGAACCTTGTCTATTTGACTCCAAAGCCCATAAATGGTTAGGAGTGTATCTGCTGGATTCAGCTGCTGGAGCCTGTGAACCAGAGTCTTTACAGCCTCAGGCAAAGGACGGACTGCGTGTCTCTAAGCCTCGTCTATGAGACGAGACAAAGAATAGCACCTACCTCACAGGCACCATAGAGATCATATACTGGCTTCAGGGTGGTACCTGATGTGCTGTCGTTGCTCAGTGTGTGTGAGAGGTGAAGGCTATGGTTCCTCGTACTACTGTGACTGCCGTCACAGCCATGACCTCAATCCCAGCAGTATGCCGCCACGACAGCCTCACTGCCTGCAAAGCCCCTTCAGGGTGTCCTCTGTGCCGTGGTGCTTATCAGGTATCCCCCGCTTGGGCATGCGCCAGACACTTAGACTGCCAGTGTGCATTTCCAGAAAAGTCCACGTGATGCCTTTGACGTGTCTCTGGCAGAGGGTCTTCTGCCAGTCACATCTGTCTTAGTCCCACATTCCTGTAAGCCATCCGACCCCCCTCTCTTTCCAGTTTGTTCTGAAAGTGAGTCTGAGCCTGAAGCTAACCAACAGATGGACAACTTGTACCTGAAAGCCCTGGAGGGTTTCATTGCCGTCGTGACCCAAGATGGCGACATGATCTTTCTATCGGAAAACATCAGCAAGTTCATGGGACTCACACAGGTGACATCCTCCTCTGGCTCTTTCAGAAAGGGAAAATGTTTCCATTTGGGAGTAAACATGAGTGGAGGGTTCTGGTCACATTTCTCCTGACCTCTCCCTGCCTGGGCCCACCCTGTTTCTCTCTGACCTCAGGCTACAAGCCTCAGGAATGCAGTCCCAGCCTCTGGTGTTGGGACAGGCCTTGCTGGTAGACAGCTCTGCCCGCTAGATTAACAAAGCAGCCCTTAGGAATCAAGCCTCTGTCAGCAGCAGCAGTCCTTTGTTCGGTCCGTATGTCTGTGGACAGCTCTGGTTTGGGATGCAAAAGACTTACTTCAGTCTGCTCCCCATCTCCCAGCCTGGAAGGTGGCTCAGCTGCCTCCTGGAGACTTCTGCCCCAGCGGGAATAATGAAGCCCAACCTTGTTTTTGGAACAGGTGGAGCTCACAGGACACAGTATCTTTGACTTCACTCATCCCTGTGACCATGAGGAGATTCGTGAGAACCTGAGTCTCAAAAGTGGTAAAGTATTCTTGCTGTGTGTTTCCTTCCCTCATACACCACCTCGGAAGGGGCTCTGCATTCCCTTTGTCTATAAACATAGGGTTGATGATCAGAGTCCTCATGATCAAGAAAATAATTGGTGTCCATAAAAGATCCAGCAGAACTTGTGGCATGAGATGGAAGGCCCCGGAAGGACTTGTACTCAGAACTGTCCACCTGGCCCTTAATGGTGCCCGATGCCATGCTAGGAAGGCAGTCCTCTGGGTTAGGTCTCAACACCTGAGAGGCCAGCGTCTCTGCCAAGTGGCATCACCCAAACCAGTACACTCATCTGTGCCCAAATGTTCACGAAACTGATTGCTCTTGTCTATCATTGTGTAAAAAACCACCCAAAACATGGTGGCCTAAACGATCATTTTATTACCCATCATGATTCTATGGGTTCTGTGGGAGGTTCTTCTGTTCCAAGTGATATCAGCAAGGCTGCCATTGTCTGGGGACCGTACGAAGTGGAATGACCACGATGGCTCCCCAGCACCTTTGGGACCTTAAGGCCCATAGTTAGAGGCTGGGACTCTGCTGCTGGTGGGGCTGGATCTCCCTCTCACTCCATGGAGTCCCAGAGCCCCTCCCTGTCTAGGCCTCTGACACATCCACTCAGGGCTCCCAAAGTGCAAAAGTAGAGGCTGCTAGACTCTCCGAAGGCTGAGTCCGGAGACTGGCCCAGCATCCCTTTGCCTCTTTCTGTTGTTAAGAGGGAGTTATAAGCCAACTCCTGCTCAGAGTAGGAGGGAAGTACACAAGGTGATGATTACCAGGAGGCACATGTGACTCACTGGGGACACCTTTGGAACCTAGATACCCTGGGAGCCAAGGAATGAATCTGGTCTCCTGGTGATAACACCCACAGCAGGATAAGACCCACAACTGGTGATAAGACCCACAACAGTTTTTGATGGAGAAGATATTGACGAGATCTCATACACTATACCCTACCTGTTGCGGGGGGCCGGGGATTGGTGGGGGGTATCCAGCAGATGATCGTGGATGGGAGGGCCACATAAACAGAAAGCACTTTGCAATGACCGTTGGAGCTGTTGCAGCCATCTCTTGTCTCTGGGGACCTTCAGGCAAATGCACGGATGAGGATATTGTCAAGTGGACTGAGGCTTTGAGAGGAAGAGGGACTCAGTGACCTTCATGGTCCCTTCTGAACCAGAGAGTCCAGCATGGTCCTGAGCACATCACGCCCATGTCTGTCCATCTCCTTTACCATCTCTCACCTGTCGCTACTGGGGGGCGCATGCTTGTCCGGCCTGAATGGCGGAGGCCACGGCACCAAGCCTGCAAGGCCCAGCTTTCGTTCGCACACGCGCTGCTGAACACAGGTGCTTCCAGCCTTGGGACAGACTGAACTCACAAAGAGCAGCATGACAGCCCCCGCCCCACCTGGAGCTCTTACACAGCCCCTCTGCTCTCCTGCCTCGAGGCCTCAGGCCACCTGGCTCCTAGAGTACAGTCCACAGGGCTGTTCATGGCTTCTCTGTGCTTCCAAGAAATCTCATCTCTTATGTGAGGCAGGGGTCATCAGACTTTCTGCATGTCTTCCTAAAGCATGTGCTGGAAACCTACAAAAATCAGGAAGTCTCCTCTTCTGTACTCCATAAATTCTTCAGCCCTTTGGTTCTCAGTCTGAGTTCAGCCACTGTCCCAGTCTCAGTCCGAACATGAGACCTGAACCAGGTCACTGCGTTGCCCTGTTCCTCAGAAGCTCTCCTTTTAGATGAGTGGTATTGGACCAGGCAAAGTCTAGGACCTTCCAGCTCTCAAGTTCTATGATTCATAGCCGATTCTACTATATTTGTCTGAGTAGAACGTTAGGTCTCTTGGTCTGTGTGTCAAGGACTCGGGATCAAACTCCATGAATCAGCCAATCCTCATTGAAGGCACCGGCCTGACTGGACTCATGATCTGGAAGCAAAGGGTTAGTGTGAACACCGAGAGGAAGATAAGACCATGAGCCAGATTGTAGAAAGGCTTTGAAGGCTGGATGGAAGGCCTCAAACTTTATCCTGTAGACAGACGGGAGCTTTTGAAAAGTTTTTGAGCAGGGTTGGGGTAATCCGACTGAAGCGATGTTTAGAAAGATTCATCAACTGACAGAATGGGGAGAATCCAGAGGTTAGCAAGTTAGGCCACAATAGTAACCCATGCCATAGCCACAAATGAGTATCACTAGCCCAGTTACTCCCAGCACCTGAACTGGTCATCAGGGTAGGTCCAGACCCTAGGATACAAGGATATCTCATGATAGGTAGACCCCACCTGTGAGAATTAAAACTGGAAGGAACATCGTTAAGTTTTGGAGAGATGGTTTTATAGTCATGATGGAAGAATGTTCTTTCTTTAAAATTTAAAAAAAAAAAGATTCATTTTCTCACTTTCATTGTGTTATTTGGTAGGCTCTCCTCTAGAGATGTTTGGGACAGATTCAGAAATGCCAAAGTTCATTTGACACAGCTTTTTAGGGATACATATGTCAAATAAATCATGGCCCTCTAGAGGTTTATGGAGGGGTGTGACTGTTTGGGGTGGAGAAAAGGCTCTGGCTTGTTCTGTGATGCTGGCCAAGGGGGCAGGAGTGTACCTCGGAAGGTCCAGGCTGGAGATGGTGGTGGTGGAGGCAGAGTCTAGGCGTGGACAATGGGGACTCTACTGCGTTGGTCACTCTGTTTTACGGAAAGTGGGAAAAGCTCTGAGTGAGCAGGCATTGGGAGACCCATCAGGAAAGAGGCTGTGTCATTTGTCTCGGTGATTTATTTAATTCTAGCCGAGTAAGGCTCTGATCCATGTTGAGTTCATCCTCAGAGTGAACTTGCTCACCAGACCCAGGAGGCTTGGACCAGCGGTCTCTCTTGAGCCTTGACACGTATCACTTTAGGGAAAAGCTGACACGCAGTGTCCCCAGTGCAGCTGTGGTGGGTCGAAGACTGGGTACTAACTGAAGGATTATGTTCATGATGGACAGGCCTAAAGATGAAACAGGGGTGTTGAGAGACCTTTCTAATCTGAGAGGGTCATCCCCATGAGGGGATGGTGGTCTCACCCAGACTGTCCCTTGGACTTCCTGTGAAGGAACATGGGCCTGCCACACGAGCGCTGTGCCCAGATTATGGCCTCTAGGCCCTCATTGCCTTGCCGCTGTCAAGTGAGCACTGGCGATGTACTAGATGCAGGAGGAAACAAAACAGTGAAACAGCCCTCGAGTTTAGACTCCAGTTGGGGGAACAAGCCGGAAATGAGAAAATATTAGCCCCTAGGCCAAGATCATGGTCAGAATTCATGGCAGGCCACGGGTGCTAAGGGAGCAGAACCATGGGAAATAACAAACCATGCATTCCTCGCAAAGATGGCCCCAGGGCATCTCTGCCGAATGCAAACCTAAAACCACGGTCACCCGGCACCCTCCACCCTTCCCCATGCAGGGTCTGGTTTCGGGAAGAAGAGCAAAGACACATCCACAGAGCGGGACTTTTTCATGAGGATGAAGTGTACCGTCACCAGCAGAGGTCGGACCGTCAACCTCAAGTCAGCCACCTGGAAGGTAGGACGACATCAGGCCCGGGTTGGAGTCCCCTCCCCCCGCCCCCACCCCGAGACCACTCTCTTTGGCCCCGTGTCTGACCCTCTGTGGCCCCGTGTCTGACCCTCTGTGGCTGGTCTCCAGGTCTTGCACTGCACTGGCCAGGTGAAGGTATACAGCAGCTGCCCCCCTCATGGCGGTCTCTGCAGCTACAAGGAGCCCCTCCTGTCCTGCCTCATCCTCATGTGCGAGCCCATCCAACACCCGTCACACATGGACATCCCCTTGGACAGCAAGACCTTCCTCAGCCGCCACAGCATGGACATGAAGTTCACCTACTGTGACGACAGGTGGGGGCCCGGGAGTGTGTGTGCCATGGCCGGGCTGTCTTTCCTACCTGTGTGTGTGTGCGTGTGTGCGTGTGTGTGTGTATGTGTGTGTGGTTGTGCCTGGGGGGGACGGTATGCGTCTGGGGTATGGATATTGCATCGCTGGGTACAAGTCTCTGGACGTGTGTCACTGTGTCATCCCATCGGTGCAGCTGCGGGGCTCCTGGAGCCATATTTGGTGGCTCCCCATGGAGGCAACGTCAGGGGCTGATGCCAGAGCAGTTCTGCTGTGTGGCTCATTGCTCATTGTTGTGGTGTGTGCATAGTCTCTCACATACGTGTCAGGCTCCTGAGGAAATTTCCAGGAATGCTCCTGGGAATGGAGACCGGCGTCTAGCAATGTCCCTCAGCACTGGCAACTCAGAGGCTGGCTGGGACCTTCAGGGTCTGGCCTGGAAACTGGCCCACAGTGGTGTGGCTTCTACTGTTGTCTTTCGTTGTCCCTCAGCCTTTGCTCCTTCTGTATCTTCTCCATCCCAGCTGCTACTTAGCCTAATTTTGAAGGCTTTTTGATGAAGGGAGCCAAGCTAGACTCTAAGCCCCCATAGCAGGCCCCACTGGAAATTCTCCCACGGGAGAGTGACGTGCTTCTGAGTATCAGCTCTGGCGAGATGACCTAGGCTCAGGCTCCACAGGAAGTGTTTGGTTTGAGTGGTTTTTCTCACTACAAGTTGTTCTTTATTACAAAGCTGTAGAAAAAGCAGCTAAGACTGCATATGTCCCTTCTCAGAACTGGCCTCCCCTCGAGGCAAAGTCAAAGGACTTTGTGGAAGGATCCTTGAGTCATTCCTGTCCCCCTATTTTGGCCACCATCGTGCTGGGGCCCAGGCTCTTGGAGGCAGCAGCTCATTCTCTAAGTAGAAGGAGGTGCTGTAACCTCAGAGGGAGACAATGTCACATATGAAGACTTTTGTCCTGGAACTCTGACCCAGTCAGCATTGATTATAGTGCTTAATAGTGTTGTTATTGGGATCAGGATGCAGACTGGAGATAAAGATTGTCCCAAAGGCAGGCTCTAGAGAAATCCATCCTGTGTGTAAGGTCGTTTCTCAGATGGAGGCTCTGCGTTCAAATGAACCCTGTGGGCAGAAGACTTCTGTAATGTGCACCCCTCTCTAGGCTGTCGAGATGGCATGGGAAATCCCAGCACGTGGCCCACAGGGCTGGCTCAAGGATGGGGCGCTGCTGTGGATGCCTTCACCATCCAGCCCAGAGCAGTGGCTGTGGTGCTGGACCCCACTTAAGCTTCCCCCTTGTGTGACCCCACAAGACTTGGGAAGACCCTGCAGCCTGAGAAATAATGTATCATCTCTAGCTAATAGAAGACAGGGATTTTTTTTTTTTTTTTAAGCTTAAGACTTTGATCCTTATTAAAGGGAAGAAAAAAAAATTTCTGGAAAGAGTAATCGGAGGTTGTCCTCCATTCATTACCTTGCTTTGAATGAGTTTCGGGTCATTTCCCAAAAGCAGTGCTGCTTGGGATAGAATAGGGGACAAAAACAGGAGGAACTGTTCCAACCACGGGGTGAGAGGAAGCGGCCATGGTACGGGGAGACCCACGCGAGGCCTGCCTGCCTTGTCTGGCTCAGGGCTTGTCTGCGGAGTCGATACTGGCACGGAGGAACCTGTGATTTAAGGCTTTGTGACTCAGAGTGTGGAGGGCGATACTGCGTTTCAGAGCTGCTGGACACATTGCATTTTCAGCAGAATCCTGCCTTTCAAGACCTAATTACATGGCCCAGACTCGGAGTTCAGTGGTGCTAGAGGGCTGAACGCAGGGGTGCTTGCATACCCAGAGTGCTGGGCCCCACGAAAGTTGTGTTTAACCGATTAGCAGATTAGTTAACAAGGACACAGACACAGCTTAGGCAGTTTATAAAGTGACTATTTTAAGTCCTTGATCCCTAAGTGCTATTTCTCTATTGCCTTGATGAAGACTGGGATCTTTCTGGTTTGGGTAGCTTGTTTTGTTTTCGCTCTTTCATTAGAATGGGGCAAGGTGTGCACACACAGACGTGCACACATGTGCCCGCCCTCCCTCCCTCCCTCTCTCTCTCTCCCTCTCCCTCCACCCCTCTCTTTCTGTCTCTTTAATACCCCTTCTGAGATCAGTGCTTCAAAAACCAACATTTACATATGATAGCTAATGGGGAGCCCTTTCCACTTTCCATTAAATCTAGGAATTCACTAGATTTGATGACGTCTAACACACATTGCGGGGCGACGATTTTCCACAAGGGGATTACTTTCCCATAAGGCACATGGAAAGAATCTGATGAAAATATAAGGCAACTGGAATCCACAAAATCACTTTTAAAGTCGGGTTAGCACTTTTTCTTCAATGCATGAAGGCCACAGACATAATAAACAAACGAATGAATGAAAGAATGAATAATGCTCCTGGAGAAAAGGGAAGGGAGAATGGAGAGGGGAGGGAGAGAAAACAGAAGAGAGAAAAGCTGGCATCAAATTCCCAGGTTCCCAGAGTGACTGGGAGCCGAAACAAACGGTTTGGGAGAGTCTGGGGTTGAGTCAAGGCACACCGATGGCTCAGAATGCATGTGTCCCACTCCTTTTTAATAAAGGGTCAGAGGACCATATGAGGTCTCGTGATAATTGCCTGAAACAAAGGAAATATTTTAAAAAGCAAATTTTGTGACACTGCACATCTGTCGTGTCCATGTATGTGGTTGACTGCTCTCGACAAGGGGAGCAGTGTGGTGGCGAGGCAAAAGGAGGATGTCCCGGTTATCACTGTGACTGATGGTGAACTGTCCCATTTATGACTCCCACAGAGCCGTTCATCTCCCTTTCCTAAAGTACCGAGCAACCGGTGAATAACCTGTTATTTACTGAGCACGTGCCAGGTGACTAGTTAACCCTGTGTGGGAGACTAGTCTATCCAAGTAGTAAAAGAGCTTTCTCCTGATCTGAGAGTTTAGATATCAAGACACCAGCCGCTTAATGAACCACAGTGGTTGGTGCAAAATAGAGCATTCCGTTCCCTGAAACGCGGGAGAGACGTTATTCCCAAATAGTTTAACTCTAAAATGGGGGTGTTTCCTAACTTCGTGGGGAGGTGCCACCTAGTGGCGAAAGGGGGTCACTGTGAAGGGAGCTAGGCATCAAGGAGGATGGGGCCCGCTCTGTGATTCCCATTATCCCACTGTGATTTTGTCAGTTGTAGACGCCTTCCTGTATCCGAGAAATAAATTATCCAAGCAGATTGTGTCGATAGGATCAGTATCAATAAGGAGAAAATGGTGCCACCGTTAACAGTGAAAATTTCAGGTTAACAAAGAGAGGATCATGTAATTGTTATAGTTAAAGCAGCCGAAGGCAGCCCTGTTTGACCGTTGAATCAAGGCGACATAGGGCATCCTAAAACCAGGAGTTTAATAAACCCAATAAGTTAGGATGCCTATGTTTCAAATTCTGTGGCTTAAATTTATGATGAATTATTTTTATTCAGAGAAGTCGGGAAGAGTACAGATACTAGTGAGAGAAGAGCTGGGCATCACAGAGAAGGTCAGTGGAGAGAATTAGAGCCATGAGTTGTAAGATACATACACATCAAAACACCCGGAAGGCAAGAGTTTTGAAATATGGGAAGAAGATAGGCTAACTTCAGGCAAATTAGTGGTAAACAATTATATACTTTCATTGCATAATGAGATACATTTAATAAATTTTTTTGTACTTTTTTTAGAGGATGGGTGACATCTTAAAAACCAGAGAGACCTTTCAGATTAATACATTACAGATACTTTTCTAGTGTCCTATATAGTATATTCCAAATCTTCTTGCAGAGCTACACATTATTAGCCTCTCCGCACATGTCTTATATGAGAAGGTGTAGTGAATTTCTCTAAATCCCTGAGTCACAAGGAACTTGAAGCACTCTCCCTATGCATCTGTGTCTCCTCCGAACGACGGTGTTCTGAAATCAACCCACGGTTGGGGCACGTATATGAGAGTGCTTATGTATTATCCTGTCTAACCTTCTCCAAATACTCCTAGAAGTGACACCTCTACAAATTCACTTTGCAGTGTATTTCCAGGTGTGATTGGCCTCCTGACTCAAAAATGATTCCTTCTACATGATCTGCTCCTCTCTTGCTGCAATTCAAGGCAAGCTTCTGCTTCCTTGTGTGTGGGTCTTAAGGTGCTACAAGGCAGCTGTGGCATCTGGTGGCACTCACAGCAGGGGCAGTCCAGGGCTGATGAGTCCTGGGCATGAAGTACCTGTAACACACCTGTAACGCATCACCCCAACAAGACGGAAATGGACTGCCCCTGAACTACAGAGCTGGCTGTGTAGGCTTCCCATGCCCACATACCATGTGAGGAAAACACAGGGCTTAAGGACTGTTGTTTAAAGCAAGCAAGATCTGGGTAAAAGTGTATTAAAGCAGAAAGCACTGAAATCTCGATATGATTAAGGAGGGGCCGTGCCGAGGCTTATAAGCACCTATAGAAGCCAGAATGAGGAGATTCAGGCTGTCTGGGAGAGGCCATCGCCAGAAGGCGGGAAGGAAAGAAAGCAGACTTTCAGATAAGCATGGCTAAATAGCAAATGCATTCTCTGGAATACAAATCGGTGGTTAAAAGTCCTTAAAACTTTCATCCTCTTAAGTAATTTACAGTACTCTTCTACCCAACTTGTTTATGTGATGAATTGACTTAGCAAATCCTTTACGGGTGTAGGGAGCAGGGGTAGAAACCGCAGCCAGGTCCCGCTTGCACCATGCTTTGGTGGTCTCCCGGGAACGGGGGCTAGCCGTCATAGCTAGGCCTTCACTGGACTCTCTCTGCCCCTTGATGCAAGGGCATGGACACTGTAGCTGAGGGAACCGTTTCCTTCCCGGCACTCAGGCGCAGGGAATCCATGCTGAAAAGAGCCTCTGAGCATTTAAGGGTAAAAAACAGTTTCAGGACAATAAGTAACTGTCCTTTTACGTTATGAAGACATCTCTAACATGCTGAAGTCGGAAGCCCAGTGGTCTGACCCACATATCTACTCAGCGTAACACTTCACAATATAATAACCTTTTTCCTCTATACTTTCTGTTCTCTTTCTCTTCCTTCTCTCTCTGCCTCCAAGGCTACCCGTCATTGTCTACATCTCTCTCCTTACCTCATCCTTCTTCCACTCTTTCTTCCGCTATTCTCGCTTCTGAAATCTGGTAGATGAAGCCCTTTTACATTTCCCACTTCTCAAAAACAGAACAGCCCTACTGAGTTGACTTTAACTTTATGGGTGACCCCAGGCTGATTTTTTTTTTTTTTTCCCAGTGAGTCAGGGCTCTTAATTAGAAAGAAAGAAAAAAAAAATTCCCTGCCCCCGATGGAGAGAGCAGATGAAACTGTGTTATCACAGCCCAGCTCCGCAGGGACTGGGACCCGGGGAAAAGAGCAGGGAAGGCCCTTGTGTGCCAGAGGAGCTGACCCTATAAACAAGCTGGGTTCATTAGCCTCCCCACTGGCGTCTGCGTGCCTGCACATGGAGGCCAATGACCATTAGCTTCAAGTTGGGGTTTCCTGGCTTTGTGAAGTTTGACAACTCGAACGTTCTTCAATTGTGTTTGGGGTGTGTGTATTTCCCAGTTTTTATAGTAGTCTGTTTAAAGGAATGAAGAAGGAGACATTAAATATTTATTTTAGTTGACAAGATAAATGAAGGCCACTCCTGGGAAGCGAGCTGGCGATTCTGAAATCCTGGTTTGTTTGTACACTTCCCAGACATGCCCATTGTGTGCCTTTGAATGCATGGTACAGTAATTAGATTTTTTAAATGGTTTATTATGAGGCTGGTGGTAATAAACATTTACTTTGAACATTTTAAAGATTCTAATCTTGAAAGAAAAGTTCATTGCTTCAGGGAGTGGTACCATATCTTTTCCAGAGCAGCCTCACTTTGGAGGGTCTCTAGAAAATTCTAGCCCTGCTCAGGAACAGAAGCAATGTATCTGGCAAATCGGCAAGCCTGTTAATGGCCAGCTCACTGTCACCAGGGCCTGCTGGTACAATTCCTATTCCCAGGCTTAAGCTTGAAAGGACTAGACCCAACAGGAAAGCCATTCGGTTGTAGAAAAGCGAGGGCCAGCACTGTTCTACCATCTCCGTGCTCTGCCCCAGTCTCTACCTCGCTAAGGGGCCATTGGGCCCTAACCCCAGGATCAGGCTACTGATGAACATGTCTGTTGCTGTAAGTTCAGAGATCTCTTTGCTCCGGGCCAAGTAAGGGGACAGATGCTCCCGGTCTGAGACCAGCAGGCACAAGTGAACTTGCCATTGCACGTGAACTGCTGAAATCTCACTGGAAATCTCCGCTGGGCTAAATCAGCTGAGGCCTAAGCTGCTCGGCCCCTTTGGGCTGCCCCTTGTTTGACAAAGGCTTTCAGCCCTAAGTGTCACTGAGGGAGAGAATTTTTCTCTTCTCTGACCATGCCAACACCAGGCACAGCTTCCAGGATGAAGAAAGGATGGATTAAACATCGTGAGGGGTCCCGCTGAGAGCTGTGTGCGTGCGCCACGCACATGCACACGCACTGACATGCATTGACACAGTTAATCACATTCTAGGAGAGAGAGTAAAGCTTTATTGCCTTAGTGGTGCTGGGGAAGTTAGGGCTCTGGTTGTACCTTGGGTCCTAAGAACAGAGCTGCTAGTCAGCCACTCAAGAATTTACTGAGTACCCACTGTAGGGAAGGCCAAAGAAGAAAGTGGTCCCTATGTTCAGGGATTGGCAGCCTAGAATGTGAGTAATTGTCTTTTACGTGGGTTTGCCTGTTAGGACTTAGTGAGAAGGAGACGTCACTGAGGGCTGGGAGAATCAGAGAAGTCTCTGTGGAGATGGCTGGGCCATGAGCTAGCCTTGTGGTCAAGGGGGGCTTGGAGAAGACGTCAAGGCTCTACAGCAAGAATGGGTTTGCTGGGTGTGGGGAACTCCAAGGGGAGCAGTCTGCCAGGACACAGGATGTAAGACACACACTGCTGGTTAGCCAAAATCACACTGCATGGAAGTTGGGAGACCAGATTCTGGGGGGTCCTGTAAGTTAGATGGACTGTATTTACTCTGGATCACAGTAACAATAGTGGTCACTAGCCGTTGGTAATAGGGAAAGCTGTAGATGCTTAAATGGGGTGGAGCAGGAGGGAAATAGGGTTTCCATCCTATTTTAGAATGATTTATTCTGGCAGACATATGTAGAGACCCTTTGGAGTGGGGAGAGAATAAGAAAAGGAAACCAAGGAGCCCCAGCTTCTGCTGATTTTGTTTTCCCCTCTGTGTTGTTAATTTCCAGTGTGGATACATGATAGGACTCAGAAGTCATACATTCTGAAATAGAGCTCATAATCATAAGAGTACAGCATCACTTCTGACAAGTAAACAAGACAATGAGCCCATTAGAAAAACTGCAGGAGACAGCGAACCTTGCAAGAAATGATATTTAGATGTAATGTGAGAAAGTGGCTAATCTGGTGGTTCTTGGGTGGGGCATCTTTAGTTTAATAATTCTGGTATAGAGAAAAGAGTCCTCAGAGTGTTAAGTGATCCTTCATGGTTCTCTACATTTGTCTGTTTTCTGCCCGTTTCCCATGAAACCAGACATGTTACAGGATGAAGAAAGGGACACTTGGGATGGTCGAGCCCTGTCATTTCAGAGCTGCCCATCTATCAGAGTGTAATGAGGAGGCACATTTCTAATACCTTGATTTTGTATTTCTTCCTCTCAGCACTTCCTGCCCATCCCCATTCCTTGAAATGGGGAGGGGCAGGTAAAGTTCCAAGGTAGGCAAGCCTGATGTCCGATGTCCGAGAAGTACCTGAGGTCACCAGGCAGGACCTGAGGGAGAGTACTCAGACGACTAAAGATCAGACACAGGCAGGGCGGGTTCTCCTGCCCGGGTTCCTCCTCCCTTGCTGCTTACCACACATACAAAGGCCGACTCCACACTCCTCCCCGCAGAGGCCTCACCATTTTCGCTTTTCACTTACATCACCCAGTACTGACATCAGCTTGATCTGGTAACCTGGAGCCCTGGTTTTCATTACTGTTTTGTCCCTGGACTCTCGCGTGGACATCAACTGGACTGTTCCCCCTGGATCTCCCTCTTCGGCCAAAGCTGGGGGGCGGAGGGTATGAGAGCCCCTTCCAGGACTTGCTGGGAGACTAGGTTTATGTGTATCGGCGGCGGACGTAGGGAATCCCGACTTTACAGACACGATTTCAGAAAGTGCGGGAAGAGTGGAGGGAGGTTGGGTGGAGCCACCGCAGCAGGTTGAACACCATGTTTTCTTTATCTTGGATGAACGGGACGACCAGGATGCCTGGAGCGTTTTCATCTGAATGTATGCCTCTGACTTACCTTCTGGATCTAGCTCCTTGAGCCCCTGCCCACATTCATACAGTCTCTCTTCCCACATGATTTTGTTTTGTTTTGTTTTGCTTTTTTAAAAATTCAGGATCACAGAACTGGTTGGTTACCACCCCGAGGAGCTGCTTGGCCGCTCAGCCTATGAGTTCTACCATGCTCTGGACTCAGAGAACATGACCAAAAGTCACCAGAACCGTAAGTTCCTGGAGCACCCTGCGTGGCTTCCTTGTGTCTGTGAAATATGGCCTTGAATGAGGTGTGGCACCAGTGAGACCAGAGAAGACCTGCTTCCATCCTCCACAGAGCCACCATCTTGGGTGGCAGACAAGACCTGTGCCCTCAGGATGGTTAGAAATCCAAGGCTGCCACCAGTCCAGATGACAACTTGATGCAAATTAGAAAAAGGCCCCGTTCTTCTGGGGGGGACACACCCATACCATGGCCCACAGCTTAGAGAGTAGAAGGTGGGCTGAATCTCAGTCCCCACATTCCATTTCCACCCAGCGCCCCATATGGCCAGCAGTTGGCACAGCCCTGTGGGACAGCCCTGTAAAGAAGAGCACAAGAGGACACATGGTCAGCTGGGTCGTGGGCTATAGAAGCAGAAGAGGAGGCCTGGGAAGATTCAAGAAAGGAGAGGACAGAGCTCTTGAGTTGGACCTAGAAGGATGGGGGAGGACGAGGCCCAACAGGTGAAGGTACCAGGGCAGCAACTTCACAGATGCATTGAGGTAGGCCTCGGTTCTCCAACAGCTGGCTTGCTGGGTCAGAGAACTCAGTCGGAGGCTGTCCAGGCAAACAAGTGGTGGCACATGGACACTATGCTTTGCAACTTGAAAGAAACCCGAGTTATGAAAGGATCCTGGAACAGCACTGTCCAGCAGGACTCTCTGCAAGGGAGATGTTCTGCATGGGCACAGTCCATGTGAAGTGTCTAGTGCACCCAAGGAACTGAATGTTGAAAATTTTAATTTTACTTAAATTTCAGTCACTTGACCATGGCTACCCCATGGGACAGGGCAACTCTAGTGCCTTCACTTGGCCATATTCCCAGTGCAGCCTTCCTGTTCACAGGCGATCCAAGATAGTCTCCTTGAATCCATGCAGCCCGTCAACATGCAAAGGACTCTGGGTCGATTCCACTATACTCAGCCCACTGAGGGACATAGACACTTATAGGATTGCTCCCCAACGAAAGAAAAAGGAAGGTTGTTGGCTCTGTGGAACAGGTGGCTCATCTTTTTAGCCTCAATATCTAGCATAGTGTTTGATAAAATGCGGGCACTAAGTCAGTGATAAACCCAAGGCGCACTCATATTTGGGAAAGAATGCTTCAAAATCAGTGCAGACAGAGGTGCCGAGAAGATTCTAGGCGATTAAAAATGGGTAAGGTAAGTCTAACAAGCATGCCGGTGGTCCTGCGGGTCCTGGGCCCACGGGATTAGCTGTGGCTTGGGGTGGCAAGGGAGAAGATGGAGATGCTTCTGTTTGTCCATTGTTTCTCAGTCCATCATCTGTGCTAAGGTTAGGACAGCTGAGTTCAGAGCAGCCCACAGATCAGCAATCCCATAAACTGTATGTGAGCACAGTTCCTGTCCTCTGATGGAGTGAGATCTTCTCTTTCTAATTGGTCTCTCTGCTTTTTCCTCGTGGCTTTGGGGTTTGAGCTGAAAGTACAAGACGGCCCCTTATGATATCTCAGAGAAGTTTTTCACTATGCTGTCTGGCCAAAAACCAACCAAGCCACCAGCCTAGATTCAGCCCCATGCAGGGACCCAGAGAGTGGAGGAGGGAGGTGAAGGCAGCTTCGTGTGCCCGTGGACATGACCCAGCCCGAGCCTCCCCCAGCTTTGAAATTGTAGGATGTGGTTCCAGCCTTCATGCTGGGATTCCCCATGCTTTTCTGTTACACGGTGATTCTCGCTCCCAAAGTTATCCCAACCCTGCGACTCTGGGACCTGGGCTCTGCCCCAACTGACCCACAGATTCCCCAAGGCCTGGCTTTCTGGGTCTTTCCTCCTTTACATGTGAAATGGGAAAAGTCCAGCTTTTTTCCTCAGCCCAGGGTGAAGTCAAAGCAGGGGACAATAGGAAAAGTTTCTGGGAATTCCTGGAGGACAATATTATACTTTGTCTTTGGGGATAGAAGAGCTGAGGCACTACTATCAGAAGGAACAAAAATGATGACTTCTCCCTGGGCAAAGAAAAAGTATTCTCTCTTTCTTCATAAAAAATCTTTGACCCTTGGGAGGGAGGTTGTAAGAGGGGGGTGGGGTTATGGACATTGGGGAGGGTATGTGCTATGGTGAGTGCTGTGAAGTGTGTAAACCTGGCGATTCACAGACCTGTACCCCTGGGGATAAAAATACATTATATGTTTATAAAAAATAAATTAATTTAAAAAAATCTTTGACCCTTAAAACAGAGCTGGGATAAAAATTGGTCTTATCAGTTTTGTGCTGACTCTGGCGGAAATATGGCGCTTTTTATTGAATCCGTACATTGAAGTATTAGGCACACTTAAAGGTAATTCACAACCCAAAGAGAAATCAGGCTCCCTTTTTCCCCTGATGGAGCCATGTAAAGCTGCCCAGAGCTCCGTGGCCCCACGCCCAGCCAGCAAACCCAAATCCAGCAAGGGGAAGTCTGTGTGGCTTGGAAATTGGATTACTGACAGCTAAAACAGAAAGCATCTATTTCTGTCTCTCTGCCTGTGTGTGTGTGTGTGTGTGTGTGTGTGTGTGTGGTTGGGTTTGTGCAAATAAAGTACCACAGAGTCACACTACTGTGGCAGGATAGTTGGAGGCTGGGTCAGGTTTATACACCAGCATCCTGAGTTTCCACGTGAATGTGTGTTTTAGCCTGTGAACGTTTACTGTCGAAATGACTGGGGAAGCTCTGTCCTCAAAGCAGATTTAGATAATTGAAAACCATCATTTCCAAATGGATTAGTAATTTATACGTCGTTACTGTCGGTGGTAGGGGCTGGGGGGGGGGCGCTTTCTCTTTGTTGTGTGAGGACATTATGTGCTCTTAGGAAAACAAGATTAAAGGCTATAAACGGCCTATCTCCCAAGGAGCAGGCCCCTCACCAAGGCTGGCGTTAATGAACAGATGGGTAGAAAGCAGGCGTAATTATACTGTGCTGGCAGAACAGGTCCTCGCCTGCAATCACTAGAAATGCAGTTAAGACCTTTGCTTGCTGCACTGCTTAATCAAAAAGAATAGGAGCCCTGAACTCTGTCTGCATTAAGATCCGTCTAAATAAGTTAACTCCAGGCACTTGAAATTGTGCAAGAATCGTTTCTCTGCAGGAAGGGAGCCTCAGTGGGGCACCTGAGGGGCCCTGGGGAGGACAGCAGTGGCCCACGACGATGCAGGACCACAGCCACAGCAAGTGGAGGCTTCCCAGTGAATGGCGGCGTGGGGGTCGTAGCCAGAGAGTGAGGGGCCGGGAGTGCTGTTCTCCTGCTCCGTTGTCCTACCTCGTGTTAAGCAGGTCACAGTCCCCCTGACCTTATTCCTTCCTGTCCAAAGAAGGCGATATCTATCCTCTCTGCGCCCCAGAATTATGGTCCAAAAGACTAGACTAGGGTGATGTGCCACTTTGGAAAAGGATGTCACAGCTTCTTACAAAGGAAGCATGTACTTAGCCACTGACCTGGCCATTGTCCCCCTAGCTGCACCCACCGTATGTGTCCATACAAAGATGTGTACACCAGTGTTTATAGCAGCGGTATTCACAATAACCAAAAAAACTGAAAACAACTTAAACATCCATCTACAGGTGAATGGATAAACCAATTATGGTACCTCCATACAGTGGAACACAGCTCAGCAATAAAAAGGAGCAAAGCCCGAGTCCTGGCAGCACCCGAGGAATCTGGAACACATGCTGAGGGAAAAGAAGCCAGACACAAAAGAGTACATACTCTTGTATGAGGCCACTTACATGCAGATGGAGAGAAGAGCGCCATATAGTGGCAGACAACAGATCAGGGGGAGCCTGGGACCAGGGGTGGCCATGAGGATGGAGCAGCAGGAGGCCTAAGGAATTCAGAGGTGGCGGACTGAGGGCCAAGTGGTTTACCTTGGATTGTGGTGACAGTCCCATGCACTTTGTCAGAATGCATTGGACTGTGCACCTCAAGTGGTTGCATTTTTAAATTGAAGGTAAACTAAACCTCACTGAAGTTGATTTTTTTTTTTAAGATTTTATTTATTTGACAGATCACAAGTAGGCAGAGAGGCAGAGAGAGGGGGGGAAGCAGGCTCCCTGCTGAGCAGAGAGTCCGATGCGGGGCTCGATCCCAGGACCTTGGGATCATGACCTGAGCCGAAGGCAGAGGCTTAACCCACTGAGCCACCCAGGCGCCCCTGAAGTTGATTTTTATAAAAGGAAAACCAAACCACGAAAGCTTAGGTCGGGAGTCTGACATGTAGACTGTGAGCCCATCTACTGTTTCCACTGAGGGGCCCTTTCAGCAAACTACCGTGGAGTTCCCGGCCTCAGTTTCTTTAGAGGTAAAACAGGAATCACGAGAGACCTTTCACGGTGTCATTGCGAATTACACAAGCTGTTGGGGACGCTGATCCTTGCGGACGACTTAGGTGCCAGGCAGTTGTAACCGCTGTGCAGCAGTGAGCTCATCTTGAGACAGTGTCGAACACTGCAAAGCACTGCACACAAGTAAGTTACTACTCGGGCACCTCGGTGCTTGTTCAATTTTTGAAGTGGGTAAAACGTGCCCCGAAAAACATAAAGGGCCACAAGTGGCATCAGTAGGAACCAAGCGGCCATCCTTAGCCTCCCAAGCCTAGTGAACAGGGAGGTGGCCCCTGCACCCACCAGGAGAATGGAGTGCAAATCTGTGTTCACCAAGAGTCTGGATACTCTCCCGTGGGACCCCTCACAACGTTCTCTATGGCCCCAGGGAAGAGGGGGCTTTTCCTCTATGGCCGTTATCCAGGACGTTCCATCAACGGGTCTGCACGGGATCAGCCAGCCAGGCAGACCTGGTCCTCGGCGTGAACAGCTGCTCTACGCTGGCTCACTAGGAACGTCGTTCTCGTCATCACTGTTCTTTTTATCAGCATCTCACTTTGCAGATGAGGAAACCAAAACTAAGAGGGATTGTTCCTTCCCCAGAGCCCCCAAGCTAGCAAGATTTTCTAACACCCTCATCATGCCTCTTCCCATTCTCTGTGATTGGAGGAGCTCGGAGCTAGGATTCTGAAGAATGAATTCCCAAGGAATGAAAGAAGATGGACTGTTCAGAAAACTACCAGAAATTCTAACATTGGTAGACTTTAAAGAGATTTATTAATTCCTGTTTAATGGGAGTAGATGAAGCCTTCTGGACTGGGCCATGTGGGACACCGTCCCAGTGCTTTCCTACAGTAAATGTTAAATGAGCGTTTAATATAATTTAGAAGAGGAAAGAAGTCACGTGGAGGTCCTTGTGTCTCTGTGCGCAGTCTTGTCTGTTTCCCCGTAGACTACCCTCCCTGTGAGGTCTAACTCCCCAGCCTCCCTGACCTCAGGCTCCGTTTCTCCTCCCCTAGTGTGCACCAAAGGGCAGGTGGTGAGCGGCCAATACCGGATGCTTGCGAAGCACGGGGGCTATGTGTGGCTGGAGACCCAGGGGACAGTCATCTACAACCCTCGGAACCTGCAGCCCCAGTGCATCATGTGTGTGAACTACGTCCTGAGGTGAGCACGTTAGGGCCGTGGGGCAGGCTGTGCGGGGCACCTGAGCTCCCCAGACCGAGGGCAGCAGGCCAAGAGGACACACACCTACCCAACCCCGGGCACTGCCTCTGCGAGCTCTTTGTGCCAATCCTTGGGACCCAGAGGATTTTTTTTTTTTTAATTTTTAATTTTTAATTTTTTATAAACATATATTTATATCCCCAGGGCTACAGGTCTGTGAATTACCAGGTTTACGCACTTCACAGCACTCACCATAACACATACCCTCCCCAATGTCCATAACCCCACCCCCCCTTCCAACCCCCCTCCCCCCAGCAACCCTCAGTTTGTTTTGTGAGATTAAGAGTCACTTATGGTTTGGGGACCCAGAGTATTTTCATGGCTGTCTCAGGGACTATAGGATACCTGGGGTGGCCCTTCCTGGTGACCTTTTTTTTTTTTTTTGGTCTCCCCCTATCTGTCATCTGTGTCATGCCTCTGACCCACATGGGGAGGCAGATAGCATAGTTGTCACTTAGTATTTTTTGAATGGGGAACAAGGAAAGAGATACTGCTCAGGATTTCTGGGAGAAGATGCAACAGCTTTATTCCCTAGTGCCTGGGGAGAAAGCTGGAGATGGTCCCTGCTAGAGTAAAACAAACCCAAAGCCCTCACCCCCCATGTACGCAATGCAGCGCATGCCCGGTAATCAAAGAGCATCCCAGAGCCATCCCTGTCCCGAGGGTAGGCTTGGGGTTGCTGCCTCCATGACTCCAAACTTCACCGCGCGGGGCCTTACAAAACCCTAGCACGGCGTCCATACCTGTGTTTTCAGCCAAGAGGGTTAGCTGTCTGGTTTTCTGTATGTCTGGGGATATAAAAGGCTTTTGCTAGAAAACATGGGAGGTCTGAGACACTTCTTGTCCCATCAGTGAGATCGAGAAGAATGACGTGGTGTTCTCCATGGACCAGACGGAATCCCTGTTCAAGCCGCACCTGATGGCCATGAACAGCATCTTTGACAGCAGCGGGGAGGTGGCAGTGTCCGACAAGAGTAACTGCCTGTTCACCAAGCTGAAGGAGGAGCCCGAGGAGCTGGCCCAGCTGGCACCCACTGCAGGAGATGTCATCGTTTCTCTGGATTTCGGTGGGTGCTTCCTAGCCAAACAGGGGCCTGCTGAACCCTCTCTCCTTACTGTAACCGGCCTCCCTGGCTTCAGTGTTTCCTCAGCCCCTGCCCCCTCCCCAGCCCTGTGATTCCTCTGTTGGTAGCCAGACTGTGCTGAGCGCCGAAGGGCAATGTGCAGGTCGGGCACAGAGTGAGAGGGTCCTGCTTCGGACTCTGCAAAACGCTGCCTGGGCAGGGCTTATGGGGACTGAGCCATGGCCTGTCCAGCAGAGGCGGGGGGAGTCTGACATGAGGGAGGGGGCAGCGAGTGAGACCGTCAGAGGCCGCTACTGTGTTTGCATGGAGAGGGCAGATCTCCCCCTGGGCCTCGAAGGACAGGATGCTGTTTAGGTAGAGGGCCAGGCTGAAATAGGAGGAGAAATCATTCCAGAAATGTGGAGGGAGAAAAGATGCCCTCATATCCACTATTTAAAAAAAAAAAAAATGTGGGCCCCTCCACAGGGCGCCTGGGTGGCTCAGTTGATGAAGCATTCCACTCTTGATTTTGGCTCAGGTCATGATCTCAGGGTGGTGAGATCAAGCCCCGCATCGGGCTCGGTGCTGGGCAGGTGTGGAGTCTGGGGGAGAGTCTGTCTCCCTTGCCGTCTGCTCCTACCCCCATCCTGTGCATGCACTCTCTCTTAAAAAAAAAAAAAAAAAAGTAAATGTTGGCATGTCCAGGCAGTTTTCAGCCCTGTCCCCCCTCCCATGCTGGAAACACTTAACATGTGTACCTGGGAAGCCCCTTGCTCCCAGGCTGTGACCCCTACCTCTGTCCCCCACCCTCCTGTGCCCATCCCAGGGCTAGAAGCCCCTCCCCCTGCTCACCGTATGGTGGCTTGGCCCCTCTAGAAGCTCTGGAGAGGCCACATGGGGATTGCAACCTCAGAAACTATAAAGGGCGATAGCCCCGGGACAAGAAGTCTCGCAGCGGCCCTGGGATGTGGCAGTACTGAGGCAAACTGGCCTGTTTCCCTCTTACCACCACCTCCTCATGGACATTCCCGGCCCCTCGTCAAGGAAGTGAGTCCTAGGACCTGTAGACCCTGATGAGGAAATGCTCCAGGAGGGTGTTCCCTTCCAAGGGAGGCTTGCCTCACAGCCCGTAGTTGCAGCCGGGCCCGAGCGCCTAGCCCCAGGCACGCTTTCAGACCCTCCTAGCACCTTCCCTATACCCTCTGGGCTTTCGCTACGCCGGGGTAAGCCCGGGAGTTGTAGGTGGTAACCAGCCAGGACCTTGTCTCCACAGAGAGCCAGAGCTTCCAGGGCTCCTCATCCTACAGCAACACCCTCCTGCCCCCCGGCCAGCCGTGGCCCAGAGAGCCAAGGAGCCACAGCACCCAGAGCGAGGCCGGGAGCCTGCCCGCCTTCACCGTGCCACAAGTGGCAGCCTCCGGGAGCACCACCCCGAGTGCCACCAGCAGCAGCAGCTGCTCCACGGTGAGCACCCCGCCTTGGGGTGAGGACACGGAAAGGGTGGGCTGCTCCTTTTTGGCTGCTGCACGATGGCCAAGCAGATGGCCCGGATAGGAATACTGCCTGCATGGCCGTCGAGTTATCCTGGGGTCCCCCGGGGTGGGGGGCCCCTTGCCTGCCCACTGCTCTAGCTGTTGGCTCTTACTGTGTGCGCCCCCATCTAAATGCTAAGTTTCCTGAAGATGGGGCTGAGTGGCACACAGCTCTGAGCCCCTCGCTGGGCAGGGCAGTCACCATCCTGCTCGGGGCAGAGGGCGGCATAGTTTGCAGAGCCCCACTGGCCATGGCCTTCTTGTGAGGAGGGGTCCCCCTCCACATACTTGTTCCATGGGCTGGAGCAGACTCTGTGAGTGTAGAAACGCACTGCCCCTTTCACCTTGGACTTCTGGGGAGACGAGTGCCCTCCTCTTGACTTGGTCACTCTCCTTCTGGCCCCTAGCCCAGCAGCCCAGGAGACTATTACACATCCCTGAGTGACAATCTGAAGATTGAAGTCATCGAGAAACTCTTCACCATGGATACAGAGGCAAAGGACCAGGGCAGCTCCCAGGTAGGTGGGCTGTGCCGGCTTACACCTGTTCTTATAGCCACGACGTTCACTGCAGAGCCTGAGGGGCTGGAGGGCTGGTGCTTGGCCAAGGCCCTGGTCTTAAATGGGAAGTGGAGCCTGGGGAAGTCCCCTTCTCCCCAGGCTCAATCCAGCTCGCGCAGTCTCTACTGAGGCCGGTTTTCCTCTGCCCCAGAAAGCAAATTACCCCTGCTCCTTTCTTAAAGAAGCCTTATGTTTAAAGAGTAGATAGGAATTGTGAGAGGTTTATAAATAAGGAAAATTTACTCTCCTCCCAAACACATTCATCTTAGGATTCTGAAATAATTTATTTTAAATGCATTTTAAAGGATAGAGGACTGACAGATTTTTCACTTACACACCACTTTTCAGGAATGTACAGAGGCAGTGTTCTTGAAAGGGACTGGTGTTCCTGGAAAATTACAAAAACAAGGATGGGGAGGGTGTTTCACAGAGCATAGGAGGAAGAGGAGGACCGAGTTGTCCCTGCCTCCCCAGGGGCCACTGCATACGCCACGGGCTTCACAGGCAGTCTCACTGGGGCTATAGGAGAGAAGTGGGGTAGAGAGGAAGTCGTTTCAGGTGGGAGGAGGCAGGGTCACCTGTGGGGAACGTGCAGGCACCGCCAAGCAGAGCATGGCGGTTCGGGGCATGAACCCCCGGAAAGGCTAGTGTCCCAGGCCAGGAGCCCTGCACGGCAAGTAGACAAATCTGAGTTTTCAGTTGGTGGGCCACAGGGATCAAAGGCGGTACTAGAGCAAGGGAGGGACACTGCTGAAGGGAAGCGGTGCAGGAGAGGGAGGGCACAGGCAGGGCCACGAGGGCAGGACAAGGGAATAGCGTTCTCAAGGCTATGCCTGCCTCCCCACACCTTTATCTCTTCCTTGTCCTCAGACGGACTTCAGTGAGCTGGACTTGGAGACCCTGGCCCCCTACATCCCCATGGACGGTGAAGACTTCCAGCTCAGTCCCATCTGCCCCGAGGAGGGGCTGCTGCCGGAGAAACCGCAGGCCACCCCCCAGCACTGCTTCAGCACCATGACGAACATCTTCCAGCCACTGGCGCCCATGGCCTCCCACAGTCCCTTCCTCCTGGACAAGTATCAGCAGCTGGGAAGCAAGAAGATCGAGCCTGAGCACCAGCCCATGTCCTCCATCTTCTTTGATGGTGGGAGTAAGGGGTCGCTGCCACTGTGCTGTGGCCAAACCAGCACCCCTCTCTCCTCCATGGGCGGCAGATCCAATACCCAGTGGCCCCCTGACCCGCCATTACATTTTGGGCCCACGAAGTGGCCTGCCACAGATCAGCACACAGAGTCCTTGGGGCCATCACCGTTGGGTGCCCCCATCACCTCACCCCATCTCTCCGTGTTCAAGAAAAGGTGAGTGACCCAGACCCTTGCTGCACCAGCGGAAGCTCCCACGGCAGGGGATGGGTTGGAGCTCTGGGGCCCCAGAAAGTCTTCCTGCTCCTCCCCCGTGCTCTGAGAGTAGAGGCTGTGGGGGACTCACCCCAAGGTATATGAGGCCACGAGCAGAACACATTTGTGTCTGGGCCGTGGCAGAGAGAAGGGGCCTGCTAAGGGCCTTGAACAGCACCGTGTCTCCCTTCAGACCAGGGTTCCACAGCCGAGTCACAGATGCACACGGGCGTCTGAAGGACTCCTGCTGCTCTGTTGGAGCCCTGGTTGAGAAAAGCATAAAAGATGCCCTTGCTTCTCCCCTGCCTCGTAGCTGTCCCTGGTTCCTCCCATCTCTTCCCATCTCCCCAGCAAGGCCCGTGTCAACCAGGGGGGCACTCACCGGGCCAAGTCACTGTGGTTGATCTGGGACTTCTCGTGCTCAGGTCCCCCAGGTTCTGCTTCAGGGGGCGCTTGCCCATCCTCCCCGGGGAGTAGTCCAGGCAGTACAGGGGAGAGACAGGGCAGAAGACAGAGGTCTTCAAGACCAATGTCACCCACTGTGCAGCCACAATGGAGGCCTGCGCAGAAGCACGGGCCGGCAGGCAGCTGTGGAGGGAGGTACAGATGACCGGAACCATCAGCATCTGGAGCATGCAGCCCCTCATCTGGGACTCTGCCCTTTGCATCTCAGAGCCAACACGGGCGAGTCTGAGTTCTGGAAGGGTCCTCTGATGGTGCAGAGAACATGGGGATGTGGGGCTTCCAACTCCTTCATGGCTCTTTCTCTTGGCATTGGCAGGTCTGCAAAGGGCTTTGGCCCCCAAGGCCCAGATGTGATGAGCCCAGCCATGGTGGCCCTGGCCAACAAGCTGAAGCTGAAGCGACAGCGAGAGTATGAGGAGCAAGCCTTCCAAGACATGAGCGGGGTGAGTCCCCTGCCTGGTGGTGTCTGGACGCCCTCCACAGCCCAGGGCTGTGGAGACGGTGAGGACGGAGGTCCTCTCCCAGGGGCTGTGGGGGCCCAGAGAGCCTGCCAGGGGCAGCAGGAAGGGGTGTGGGTGTGACCTGTCCGAGAGAGCACCCCAGCCCCCTCGCAGGCCCACCCTCCCCCCCACCCCATCTGAGGACCTGCGTCTCTGGCCTCCTCCCTTCTGCCTCCAGGGGGATCCAACAGGTAGCAGCACTTCCCATCAGGTGTGGAAAAGGGTGAAGAGCCTCAGGGCCCACGGGAACTGCCCTCTGATGCCCGACAAACTGCTGAGTGCAAACCTCCCCAATGGTAAGCAGCGGGTCCAAGCCTCCCGGGGGCTGCGGGGACAGCAGGGGCGCCTCTGGGTCCCTTTGCAGTCTCACCCCTGCCTCTCTGAGCCTCCGAGGGATAAGGTAGTGTCCTGTGTGCCCGTCCCCCCGCCCGAGCCCTTCCACTAGGCCTGGGTGAGAGACTCAGGACGTTCTAGGTGCTGGGACCATAGGAGCTGGGGCTAGTTCTGGGCACCTTTTGTGAAGGAAGGAGGCTTCTGGGGGCCTTGCAGTCTCTCCCCTGCCTGGGCCTGGCACTGTCCTCACTTGCCGGCATTGGTCTTTCAGAGGAGTTCACCCAAAATCCCATGAGGGGCCTCGGACAGCCTCTGAGACACCTGCCACCGCCACCATCTGCCATGAGCCCGGGGGAGAACGCCAAGAGTGGGTTCCCCCCACAGTGCTGCGCCCCTCCGTACCAGGACTACAGCCTGCCGTCCACTGCCAAGCTATCAGGTGAGTGCGTCCGGGACCTGGAACCAGCCAGCAGCAGGGCTCAGCTCTGTATGGGGACAAGACTGATGCCCTGGAGGGCAGCTACCCGTCCCAGAAATAGTACGGCAGGGGTGGATGCTGCCTGGCCCCAGGGTTTTAGAAGGCACAGCCGGGGCTCTTGGGGCATAAGAGTCCCCAGGCCCATGCCTTCTGCTCAGCACCATCTCACCTACTGCCTCATTCACTGCCTTCAGGCAGGAACAGAGCTGAGGACATGCACAGAGAACGTACTGCCACGGGGTGGCCCTGGAGAATTCGGGGAGGGTTAGCCACCCTTCTCCCCTGGGCTGCCTGAGTCTGTTCCCATCTCACAGATCCTAATTACCAGCCCCCAAGGGTTGCTATGGGACATGAATGTAATCGGTGGTTTGGGGAAAACACAGCAGAAGCCCTCTTAGGGAAGAGACCCTTTTTGGAATGTTTGACAAGAGCTTTAAAAACACGGTACCAACCATTCTTTCAGGCATGGCAAGTCGGCTGCTTGGGCCCTCCTTTGAGCCCTACCTGCTGCCCGAATTGACCAGATATGACTGTGAGGTGAATGTTCCTGTGCCAGGAAGCTCCACGCTCCTGCAAGGAGGGGACCTCCTCAGAGCCCTGGACCAGGCCACCTGAGCCAGGGCTCCCCTGGGCGGGCACCCCCCCGCGAACGCTGCCCTGCCGGCTTCACTCTCTACGTCTACTTTTGCAACTAGGTATTTCTAACACCAACACACTTTTTACAAGATGTACCTACTGGCAAACCTGCCCACGTCACCACGTAGTGGCCTTTTTCTAAAGATGCTCACTTTAGTAGCTGTATTTTCAAGATACACGGTTTTACCTGCTGCGTTTTATTCTGTCAATGAACGTGTTCTTAAATTTTGTAAGATTTTTCTTTCCCCAACTTTGATTACTTCTAATTTATATTATTCATGGGTCCCTCTGTCTCGCTCTCTCACACACAGTATCCATACTAATGAGTTTTGTGTTACGTCTGTTCTCTTGTCGGGAAAGCTTTGGCAACAACACCACCACCTTTTTTTAGTAAAACGAAGCCAAAGAGAAACAAAGTAATTCTGCTATCCAAGCTAGATTTTCACAGCCTGTTCCTCTCAAAGCCCTTCTCCCTTCTTTCTTAAAGCATCACCCTACGGTAAATTTCCATCTTTTTGCTCTTCTTAAGCCGATTCTTAGCTCTAATCTTGACACAACATTTGGGAAAGAAGAGAAATGTGAAGGGTGAACTCTGGCGTAAGTGCTTGTGAAGGTTGCACGATGTGGCTTTCCCCCCCTCACTGTTTGGGGTTCTTCTCCCACATTCGGTGGATCTGTTTATTAATTATTATTCAAAAACATAACTGAGGTTTTTTTTTAAGAGAAAACATATCAGGTTTAATGTGTTTATCATATATATGGGTACTTTGTAATATCTAAAAATTTAGAAACAAATGGAATCCTGCTCATGGAATCACTTTAAGATCTGTTTTGTAAGATGTCCGTTCTCTCTCTCCTGGTGTTGCCGACACCACCGTCGTTTGGCACGCCCCTGGGCCTGTCCTAGCTCTGCTCAAGGTCTCACTGTTGGCTTTTTGCTTTGGGGATATGCCATAGGCGTGACAAGCAATCCAAGACATGGAATCATGAAGTGTGGGAGCACTGCGAGCTGTCTTCTCATGTTCTATATGTATTATGTATGTATGTATGTATGTATATTATTATTGCTGCCAAGAGGGTCTGACGGCATGTTATGGGGTGAGGATGGGGTGAATCTGAGGGAGGGGAAGTGCTTTAATCTTTCTTCAGATCTTGTTGCTAGCCCTTCAAGTGCACTGAGCTATGGGACTCTAAAGGTCTTTCACATGGCACATTTGGGTATTTCCAGAATTACCATGAAATGGTTTCAGTGGGAATTCAGGAAAGAAAGTGAGGATTCAGAAATGGTGCAGTGTTCCAGCCCACGGTCCTCCCAGCTTACCAGCCCGGAGCACATGGAGCTGGCCTGAGAGAGGGTGCGGAGAGGGGGCATAGCTGGTCCTGACCAGGCCCTCACCCCTTCCTCAGCCTGCTGTCAGGTGGCCCTGCCAGGAGCAGCAGGCAGACTTCCTGGTTGACCCCTAGCCTCAGGCCTTCCCCAAGGTCTGTCACCTGAAGTGACATTCAGGTAGGAAGCACTGAAAATCAAGTGTCTCAGAGCACTTTATAACTCACTGGTTAAGAGGGACAATACCTTTTGGTTTTTAAATAGCAATCACATGGAGCTCTTCTGTCCTGGGTACAAGGAGGAAGTTTCTAGAAACACACACAAAGCACAGCGGGCCAAGAATTTGGTAAAGCTGGATGGACTTACTGCCAAAAACATAGCAGAAGACCGAAGTTCAAAAGAAATCTAGGAGAAAAACGACCTGGCCACTGCCTTGACCCAATCACGCTGTAGCACCACCTCTCGGCCCCACACACGGTGGCAGAACTTGAAGGGTTACTGACGTGTCAACGCTGGTGTTTGATTTCCTGTGTGTGTTGCCTCAGCATTAAGGGCATTTTTTACCCTTGCAGTTTTACTAAAAAACTCTGAAAAAATATTCCAAGCTTCATATTAACCTTAACCTATCAGCGTAACGAGTTCATGAACATTACCGTAGTGTCAAACTCCTACTGACAACAATACTAGAGGGGAGCTTAACCTTATAAAGAAATGTATTTTGACACTGATATCTTATTAAAGTGTTCTGAACCTACCATCGCTGGTGGCTCTTGTTCATGTAGATTTGTCACAGGCTACACCAATGGAAAGCAAAGCCTCTGTTACACAGCTTACAGACAATGCGAGCGGACCCTGGTCTCTGTGAGGTAATGGAGGCCAGCCGACAGGAGGGAGAGAGCAGCACAAACACGGGCACGGCTCAGGACTGGCTACCATGTTGCATCAGCCATATTTCCACCTATAGTTCTGTCTGCTGCTAGGCCCTTTCTCAAATCCTGGGGGTCGGGGTGGCGGGTGTTCCCCAAGGACAGAAATCACCATCCTGCTTTCAGAAGACTACATGAAGCAGCGTGAGAGCTGGGCTGGTCTCCACGTCACACTCTGCACTTTGAGACACAGGTTCGAAGGGGCAGTGTGGATTGAGTGGTCAGGGAGGACCTCCATTTGGAGGCAGCAGGGCTCCAGTGGGGCCTTCCCAAGGAGAAGGTAAAGGTAGGAGGGCAAGGGCCAAGACCGCCTCCGGTGGAGACAGGGTATGGCAAAACCCTGAATTAGACATGGCTTGATGGGTTCCCAAATTCAAACTTTACCTTCCTAAATCCTGTCCTGCTTGTGAACAGGCAGCTGTCTCTGTAGGGTCATGCGGAGGCTGAGGGGAGAGCCAGCAGCATCCTCTGCTCACAACCGTCAGGACTAGAACCAGTCATTCCAGCATATTCCTTTGAACTCCGTGGTCCCTACGGGAATTGCTTGGCCTCTCTGTGGCCTTTGTGAAACTGAAATCAATCCCTTCACTTCCATGACCACCCAGGTAGGATCAGGAGAAGAGACTTCAAAGTTCTAATGTCACAGACACATACACACACACACGTTTTTTGAAATGATTCTCATTTGGTGAAGTCATGATCTCTCCAAGAGCTTACCAGCTAGAACAGAAACAAAAGCAATTCTGAGTAATTCCCCTAGATGAGGTAGTGTTCAATGATAGATGCCCAGGGACCACATTTTTTTAGGTAGTCCCTGTCTCAGACACTGGGCTTTGGTGTCCCCAAGTGCACTTGTACTTGGACCAAGGACCCCCATCTTGGGTTCAGAAAGCACAAAACTAATAGACACAAATGAACACTCAGTTGCTTTTGGGTGAAATCCTGTGGTGAAGGTCCTGTGCGAGTTCAGAGGCGGCCAGGAAAGATCCGCCTGGCCCTCAAGAGTAGAGAAACCCACAGCGGAGCTGGGAGGGAAGAAGACTGGTAAGACAGGGGTGGCGGGGAAGTTATTTCAAGAGTGGATGAGGAGGACAAAGGCATAAGGCCAGAACAGATGGCATCTGTAGGAGACGCCGGACTGAGGAGACGGCAGCCTGGCCACTCACAGCACAGGCCAGGAGTCAGACCTGGGTTCGGGTTCTCAGTCTGCTGTTTCCAGTTGTGTCTTGGGGAAGGACCTTAATGCCTAAGAGCCTGTGTCTGCCTCCCTGGGAACAGGGCACGGTAACAGTCCCTACTTCATAGGTGAAGGCTGGAGATAGAAATTTGGGACTCAACAACAGGTAAGTTGTACTTAACTCCATGAGACTGGGTTAAATTACCCGGCAGATAAGAGTGGAGACAGAGTACAGTTCTAAGGTAGAGCCCAGGTTAAAGTCAGAGGAGGAGCCAGCAAAAAGGCTGAGCAGAAGCAGCAAGTAGGAAAAATCCCGGGAGCATGGCATCCCAAAAGCCAAGAGAAGGGGGCGTTCCAAGAGCTTACTGGCTCAGAACAGAAGCAAAAGCAATTCTGAGTAATTCCTCTATAGGAGGTGGTGTTAACCTCCTCATATATGGAGGTTCTTCATATATAACGGTTCCTATATGGAACCGTTAACTGGGCCTCACTCTAGACCGAGAGGTCAGGTAAGAGGAGGAGACAAACTTGGCTCTGGGGTTTGGCAACATGGAGATGGTCACTGACCTTGCACAATGCAGTCTGGGTAGACAGCAAAGCACAGCAGCTTGATGGGAACGGACTGAGGGGTGAGCTGCCTGGAGCAGAGTGGGGTCAGAAGCCACAGTAACACACAGCTCTTTCAGGAAGTTTCCTTGTGAAGGGAAGCAGGGAAATAGAGTAAAGCTAGAAGACCCGGTTCTGCTTTCTAATATTTAATGAACCTCTAGAATAATTTAAGATTTGCCAACAAATTGAATATTAGAGTTTGGGCACCAGTTCCCTCTCTTGCTTACACTACTGTGGTATGTATGTCACAACTAAGGAACCAGTGCTGAGAACATTCTTTTCTAAGATTTGTACTTGATTTCCATTTCCTTAGTTTTTATCTAATGAATTTCTTTTCTGTTCCGGGATCCTATCCAAGCTACCATACTGCATATAACGGTCATGTGTCCTCAGGCTCCTCTAGACTGTGATAGTTTCAGGGTCCATCATAGTCATTCAAACTTCCCGTGTTGTTGATGACCTTGACAGTATTGAGGGGTGTTGTTCAGATATTTTGACAGAACAGCATCCTTCAGTTTGGATTTGTCACATGTTATTGTCATGGTTAGAGATTCTGGGTTTGGAGAGGGGAGGACAACAAAGACCCAGTCTCAGCCCATCACATCGAGGGTACATGCTGTCAGTGTGACTTCTCACTGTTGATGTTAACCTTCAGTTGGCTGATGTGGTATTTGTTGGGCTTCTCTGTAAAACTTTCAGATTTTTCTCAGGGACATTCTAGTTCAAGATGAGCTAGAGCCCATGGGGGTGTTGATATGGTGATGGCAGAGGGAGGAACTGATTAGGGCTCGCAAGAGAAGGGATCATTGCAGGAATAATGCCATTGAGAATAATAATGGGCACAGATGGGAGCTAATGCAGCATGGACAGAAACATTTGTTAGTTCATCATTTTTTTTTAAAGATTTTATTTATTTATTTGACAGAAAGAGGTCACAAGTAGGCAGAGAGGCAGGCGGGGGGGGGGGAAGCGGGCTCCCCGCCAAGCAGAGAACACAACGTGGGGCTCGATCCCAGGACCCTGGGATCATGACCTGAGCTGAAGGCAGAGGATTTAACCCACTGAGCCACCCAGGCACCCCCAGTTCATCATTTTTTAAAAAGATTTTATTTATTTGACAGAGAGATCACAAGTAGGCAGAGAGGCAGGCAGAGAGAGAGGGGGGTGGAAGCAGGCTCCCTGCTCAGCAGTGATGTGGGGCTCGATCCCAGGCCCCCAAGACCATGACCTGAGCCAAAGGCAGAGAGGCTTAATCCACTGAGCCACCCAGGCGCCCCAGACAGAGAGAGCACAAGTGAGGGGGGTGGTGGAGATTAGCAGGCAGAAGGAGAAGCAGGCTCCCTGCTGAGCAAGGAGCTGGAGGTGGGACTTGATCCCAGGACCATGGGATCATGACCTGAGCTGAAGGCAGATGCTTAACTGACTGAGCCACCCAGGCACCTCCAGTTCATCATTTTAAAGGCGGGAAGGCAAAGAGTAGATAAGGCTGCAGCCTGTCAGGTGGAATTGGTGAGGGCAAGATGCTAAGCAAACTCCAATTTATTGTTTCCATCTCCACAGCGATGGAGGAGGCAAGACCATTAGCGGAGAGAAGGGGAGGGGCTGTCAGAGTTCTTAGCAGAGAGAAGTGTGGAATCATCATTTTAGGCGGCCAGACTGATGGTTAGTATCAGATGCTCAAGTGAGATTTTGGTCACAAATTGACCCACTGGCACAGCTGTATATTGTTCTCTGACCACACTGTTCCACCCTAATGGAGGCAGAAGGAATGGTCGCGGGGCGGGGGGGGGGGGGGGGGGGGAACAGCATGTCAGAAGGATTAGGAAGGTTTCCAAGGGAATGACTATTATGACAGACCATGAAATCTAAGTTGTGTGAGAAGGAATGAGGAAAAAAAAGAGGAGGATGACCAGTGAAAAATCAGTAGGTTCAGTGAACAAGAGGTCCTAAGGAGGTCAGGGAGGGGTCAGAGAGGTGTGGACAAAGGGAACCTTGCAGATAGTCACTGTCAGAGGAAAGGAACCTGAAAATTGAAATTTCACTTATACGGACATATGACCCAGCAACACCATAAGTAAATACAACAGGTATTTATCTTAAAGTTTTCACTTAAGATTTATGTAACATCTGCCCACAAACATTTATGAATAGTGCTGCTATAATTATCAAGAACTAGAAACAACCCAAATGTCCTTCAACAGGGGTATGGATTAAAAAAAGGACCAAACTGGAACCCATCCCTACAATGGAACACCAATCAGCAATCTGAGCTAACTTGATTCACACAGCACCACGGAGGAAGGGCAAAGGTATTATTCTGAGCGAAGGAAGCCAGCATCAAACAGGACAGTCCGTGCAATTCTATGTATAGGACATTTTGGAAAAGCAGAAAATAACAGGGACAGTGGACCGCTGGTTGCCCGCGGTCAGGGGTGGAGAAGTCTGAACAAAGGGGCTGCATGGGAGAGTTCTTCTGAGTATTAGGATTATTCTACATCCTGTCAGTGGTGGTAGTTACGAAAACCTGTGCAGGCACAAAATCGTAGAACTGTACATCAGAAAGAATTTTACTTGATGTAAATTGAAAACTTGTAAAAAATTTTAAAAACTTGAGATCTCGGCGGTGGCTGAAGTCACATGGAGAAGGTGGGAGGAAGTGAGGGAGAGTGGTTGACATGGCGGGAGGCACGATGATGCCGAGTAGAGAGGCACAGGCAAGGTGGGAGCTGTGGACCAAAATCACTGAAGGAGGAATAACTAGAGGCCAAGGCTGACAACCAGGAGGAGAAAGAAGAGTCCTAGGACATGCAGGGAGAGGGGGTTTAGAAGCAAAAGTAGGATGGACCCCTCCACCTCTAGGCCCTGCCTGATGGCGTGCCTAGACAAGAGAAACGGGCCCCTCCCTGATGGCTGCAGCGGGCAGGGGTCTCAGCAGAGAGCCAGGCTCCATTCAAGAGGAAGGTGAAGGCACAGTCAGAGAAGACGGGAGGATCTGGGAGGTGGCTGATGTCAGATGGACAGCAGATGTCTGTCAGATGGACAG